AATTCTTCACAGCAATATCTGTGTCTCCCAAAACCTCTAGATTCCCAAGTTTCTATCCTACTCTACTCAAGATGTTCCTCAGAAACAAGCCGAAAGGCTCTCTTCAGGCTAGTGAGCAGCACCCAGAAATTCCTAAGGACAGCCTCAGGGGACATGGAGACACCGTGCAAGCACTTGGAGGTGTCACATAATAGTCTCCTCATGTTCTGTATGAAGTGCTCCACCTTTTGAGCTAACATATTGTATTCATGCATAAATTCAGATTAAGCATTACTTTTTGCATTATCCACTCCACCCACTGAACAACAGTGTATGTATTAAGCTGAAGACACTGTAAGGAATATTTCAAAGCCATTTCTATGTGACACTAGTGACTAGTGGAACAATATATTGCAATGTTTAGAATACCAATTTTGGTACTTTTAAAGCTTGCCAAAGAACACTCTTATAAAACAACGTCAAGAGGCTTTCTGGTGTGTCCTTCTAGCTTGTAATTTAATGTAACCACACTAAAGTTCAGTATAAAAGTATTAAAATGCATTGTTTCAAAAAACTAGGCATTATTCTAAAAAAACACAAAACAAAACCCAAGCCCTGTAATTCTTCTAATTTTGATATTTAAGATTATGACTAGTATGCAACTAGTGGATTGGTGCTCCAATGTTCTAATTTAATGCTGTTTAAATTACTAGCTATAAAAATTATAAAGTTCAAGACAGAGACTGAGCAGAGAAATCCAAAGCTAAACCATCAGAAACCAAATACCCATGTTGAAACAATTACCAAAATGTAGGTGAGACTACTTTTCTCCTAGGCACGTTTCAGGGCTCCTAACTTAATGATAATATGAAATCAAAGGTACTTCAATATAATTTATTAAAAGCAATTGTATATTCAGTTTTTCCTGAGGTGCCCTAGTCCAAGATCAACTCAAATGCCTGCTGCAGCTATGTAGGGACTAAAGTGTACCAACCCATGGACCAGCAGCTCCACTAATAGGCCATCAATGTGTGAGTCTTGCTTTAAATCCGCCTGTGACTTTATGGCAAAGAAAAAGTAACCTTCCACTTGTAAGATTATTCTCAGGAATAAAATTTTATTTATAAACTTCACCATCTGCAGTAGTGTAACAAAAGCAGGGAAGGTGAGAAGGTGACAATCTCTTCGTTTGATAATTAACAAATAAGTGCACATGTCAGGAAGTGACTTCACTTCCCACAGAGGAATTCACTCCACCTGGCAGTTTGTGTCTGAATCATACTCTGGATATCCTTGTAACATAGGACAGATAGGTAACACAAACAAACATTTTTTTTGTGTACTTTTTTATTGTTTGGAACACCAAAGTAACCCAAACTTTACATTTACAATTAACTTTTTAATAAATACGCTGTACATAATATTAGCAATACATAGCATACAACGGATTTGAAAGGCAAACATAAATGCTCATACAATCAGAAGGATGAACTGCATTGCTACTATCTTCTCTCCTAGAGGACTGACAACTGTAGATGTCATCTTTAGCTTTGAGAAAACCACTACCGCTTTCAGCTACTTTGGCCCATGAGGTGCTAAACAGTGCTCTTTAAAATCTAGTAATAGTGAATAATTTAAAAACACGATAGAAGCTTGTGTTCTTCCAAATTCAGGTTTTGTTTTTTGTCTGGGGGTGGGGGTGGGGACACCTCAGCTCAGCTCTAGAACAGGCAGTTACCTCCAAATTAACACCCAAACTGAAGTCTGAAGACAAAAATCTCAATAGCCCCAAGGCACTCCACTGCCGTTCCCATTGCAATTAGTCCTCAATGTGAAATTTTGATCTGCTTAACATTTGACAGGCTCGTGCAGTTTCAGAACTACTGGCACCGCACATTGGAAGTAACGCGTCAGTGATGTGTTGCAAGGAAACTATTCAGTGCCTACTGTGCTAAGACCTTCAATACTGGGTTGTGTTAGTAAGTAAATTGTAAATTGCTGCTACGACAATATTTTCTGAGTAAGTCCAATAATGGTACTTGATTGTTTGTGATCTGGTCTTGTCTTCCTTAAAATGCACAAGCGACTTCCAAAAATGCTTGCTTTCTACTTGAGAGCAAACAAAGGTTTATAATGAATCGGAGCCCAGAAGTGTCAGCACAGACTGTGGAGTCGAACCCTTCTCTACATGCCCTGAGCACAGCTCTGGAGTTTCTTACCTGTGATAGTACCCACTGTTCACTAAACGCCTCCCAGGTGGCAGTTTTGTATGCTAGCCACTGAATCACCACACCCTGGTGTGTCGATGCCATCAGTGTCCCCTTTACAGACGAGGAAATGGGACTTCAGCATTAGCCTCTAGGTTTAAGGTGTTCTGGTCAACACAGCATCTCCTTCTACAGACTTACAGAAAACATTAGAGCACCAAGAAGAGAGGGAGCACCTAGCTCCATGCTCCCACAGGAGGACTAACAACACCGGCACCCAGCTTCCGATCCACTGTGATACCACAACGTGATTCTTGCGTTCCTCAATCAAAGTGGTGGAACTGTGATTCTTTTGAATAAATTCTCCTTTATTTGCACACACACAAAAACAAAACAACAACAACAAAGAAAAACACCTCACTTTAAAAAAAAAAAAAAAAGCTCACCCCCTCAAGTAGACAGAGGAGTGTATGGGTGAGCACTTATTGAAATTTACTGGTGACACGTATGTCCAATGGATGGGATTCCTTTTTGATTCTTGGGACAGGTGACAGTGTGAGTTGGCAACTAAAGGCAAGAGAGGAGTGCTGGCTGGAATAGTGGAAATGTGAGGGACAGTACCACTATGCCACACACAGGCCTTGGAATGAGCATAATGGCAGGCAGTCCAGGGGAGAAACCCATTCACCTCTTCCAAGGGCTTGCTTTACTACAATGTAAAAATGAGGTCAAGAATATTTTCATATTAAACCTTTGTAACAAGAAGAAAACCAAAACTTATTTCTCTGAAAGGTCAAGATTTACGTGACCATCTTTTTTCAAGAGTTCTTTCTTAGAGACTCACTACGTAGCTCAGGCTGACTTCCAACTCAAGATCCTTGGACCTCAGCCTCCCGAGTTCTTGGAACACAGTGCCACAAGGCCCAGCACGTTTCCAGATGTCTGACTGAAGTCACACACAAGATTTTCCTTCTGTTAACTGGAACTAGACTATTCCATGTTAGTTTAAAGTATTTATTTTAATAAAATAGTTTCCATTGTTACATCAAATTCTAAACCTTCCATTTTCAAATTTTGATTTAAAAGTTATAGACAAAGATAATCAAAAGTGAAGAGCCCCACACTAAAAGCTGCTCGTTTACCTACCCCACCCACCTCACTTATGGAAGCACTGATCTCTCCTGACCTCCACCCTGTGAGGGGAAGGACACAGAAAGAAAGGTGTGTGAGGTAATGAGAACCAGGCAGGAAGACACACTGTTCCTCAGCAGTGCTAGGCATGACAAAGTAATCACTTAAGTTTATCAACTTTTGATTTGTTTCATGTTGGTTGCAAAGGTTAAACTGTTTGGTGGTGTAAGAAATAGAGGACAGGACCTTCAGGGTTGGGATAAACAGAGGCAGGTACTCACTCCAAACAGGACTACTTATAAGCAGTGGCTACCAGACTCTTGGAGCTCATGAAAGCTTTCCACTCATTCAGTGAAGTTATGAAGACCAAAGAAATTGACAAATGCACACAATTTTCTAGGGAGCCCAAAAACCATGGACATTAGACAAGATTTTGTTCCAAGCCAGAGATGTGTACAGGTGGAGAGGTTGTAGAGGAAAGAGTGGATCAGAAAACTGCATCTGATTCAGATTCTAAGATTCTTGTGCAACTATATTAGAAATACAAAAGAAGCTGTAACCCAGGGAGGCCTGGCAATGCTGGTGTGCCTTGTTTCCCAGGCCAGTGGTGCTTCCATGGCATCCCCAAACACTGGAACCTTTGAAGCAACACTTCATTACACAAATCATCTCCCCAAATCCTCCTCTAACAAACAGTCCTTCCTCTGTGTATTAAGGAAATTAAAAGTAAATTCATCATATGCACGAAAGTGCAGCCCTAACTTCACCATAAAAAGAAATTGGCATTTTTACTACTTATGGGGTACCTACACAAAGTTCAATACTGATTTTGGTGTAAAGTTCTCTACCTGAAACTAATGTCCCACAATCCTACATCTTAGGTCAGCAACAGATTCTTTCCAAAAGCAATGCTGGAGTCTGAAAGCAAATGCACACACACACACACACCCACCCCTCTGAAAACAAAATGGACTCACACTCAGAAGTAGTAACTTCCCATTAGGAGAATCAAATGTTAATTGTACTTGGTGATTTACTTCAAATAGGATTTTTTAACTTAAAAGACAGTCTATAATAAAAACTATGTGATGTACTCTATGCGACTGAAGCAAACTAGAGTACACCCTTCTAAGGATGACTGTGAAACCTCTAGGCTGCACCTGCCTTGACTGCAGCGATGAGGTGTGGAAGGAGCAACTGCAGCAGCAGAAAACCCAGGAGCCAGTGAGAATGGCCTCAACTAGACCTCAACTGTACAACGCTCACAAGAAAACAACACTATCCTGCTAGGATTATCACAGATGATACTTGACAGTCTATATATTTAAAAAAAAGATTTCAAAGTCCAGGATGGATAAGGACAAAGAAACATCTACGAGGAACCAGCTGCTAGAGCTGGAAGTCTGGAATCATGTTAAGAACATGTAACAATTCCTTTCATAGAAATTACATTAATCGAATTTGTGCATCAAATTAACATGTGCAGATAGGAATGTTTTATTGAAGACAACTAGGCCATAACGCCACCATGATGTCTCCTGGTAAAGAGCAACTGTACAACCACTTAAGAGCGTCCTCAAAGAAACACTGCCTTGGGGATTACTTTGCAAAAATTCACATTATTTTGAAAAGGACAAACTTGAAGGGGGAAAAAAACTAACAATAAAAAAATAATGAACTTACCAAGAAGTGAAACAGGCTGGGTTACAGGAGGGGTGGGCAGATTCGTAGGTGCAGCAGGTGGCACAGCAGAGCCATACATTTTCGCACTGTCAGCAGATTCGGCGTTTCCTCTAGCCCCAGACACCACTGTTGGAATGGGATTTCCAATAGATAAGTCTTTTGTAGTGTCTTCATTTATACCAGCGATAGTAGCTAAGGAATATAATTATATTGACATGTGAAGCTGAGTAGTTATGTTCCCGGTCAACAATCTTTAACCAGTCCTCAGACCCTACTATATGCTCTCGTTCCCTCCTACCCCAACTCCAAGACATCAAGTCAACGCAGAGGAGAGGCATGCTTACAGTTTGGGATGCTTATCGGTGGAGTGTGAGGAGGAGGGATGGACACTGGTGGAGTTATAGGAGGTGGGGGTCCGGGAGGGAGAAAGCCTAGAGTAAGAAAAATCAGGTCAACTCCTGCTGCATCATTTCATCTCAGAGCCTAAAACAGTCCTCTCAATCGAGCAGTGTACCTGGCGGTAAATGCATTGGGTTGAATCCTGGGCGCAGAAATGGTGGAGGAGGAGGCGGCGGCGGAACCCCAGGGCCAAAGCCTGGAGGGGGGATCCCTAAGGGAGGTGTGAAAGCGGGTGGCTGCAGAGCACCAACTACAGGGGGACCCGGCTGGTGAGGTGGGACCTGCAAAGAAACACCAGACACTTATATCTAGCTGCTCTCAAATACAGTGCACGTGCACCAAGAAAACACACACAGGCGCAACCTTTAAAATGTTATCATACTACATTTATTAGATTAAAAAGACGGTAGGTAACCTATGCCTACCTAAATGCTATAAATCTAAGCTCTGGTTTCTCCTGTAAGACGGCCATTCATACTATATTTCACGGGCATCCATTGGTGTTCTGACAGCATGTGAGACATTTGAAAATATCCCATGGCTGAATTTTTAAAAAACTGGAAAATACAAGTCTAAGAAAGGATAGCTGGCAATTTATGTAGTAGGCTAAGATCAACTATCCTAGAGTCAAATTGTCTGTACTGCCTTCCTGGCTATTAAAGCTTTCTAAACTAGGAACATGCCAACTTAAAGTAAGTATGAGGTTAAATGAGTTAATACACATTCAATGACACTTAACTGAAACCATCACTGAGCCAGAAACAGTGGCCCATGTGGTTCTAGCACTTGGAGACAGAGATAGAGCAATGCAAGTTTGAGGGCAGCCAGGGCTACATGGCAAGACAGGTCTTGAAAAACCAACCAACCACCACCAAACAAACAAACAAAAGAAAAAAACAAAAGATTCCCTTCCTACAGAGCACCTGGGACTTGGGTAGGTATATCTGAGTTCAAAATATAGTAACTCCCTGAAGAATGAAAGCCTAATAGGAAGCAAAAATAACTGGTTCTGGATTTCCTATCTAAGACTTTATAAGTCAGGGCACTGAGTAATCCACACAACTTGTCAAACAATGTAAAACTATTTGTTTTATTAACATTTATGAAAAAAAGCTGGCATTCAAAAATAGATGTTATATAACAAAATATGCAAAACTAGTATGGGCATTTATTTACTTTTTAGACAGAGAAGAAAGACTAAAGCAATCTTTCAGACCCTCAAAAGTTAAACCCTGTTCCCACTATTCCTACCTGTGGAGGTGGCACTGTTATGGGAGCAGGGACAGGAATAGGAGGGACAGGCACAGGCAAAGTCTTGGGGACGGGCGACACAGGTTCCGTGTGAGAGGCCTCTCCACCTCCATTTTGGGCAACTTCATTTTCAGGCTTCTTGGGGATTCCCTTCCACTCTATGAATTACAGAAATAGAACAAGAAATGTTTACTATTTTCACTTACAACTTTAAATACAGAAATGAAAATTGAGGATTAGAAAATATTACCTTCATAAAAGAAATGTCTGCTAATTTTAGCATTTAAATTAACAAATAACGGAAACACGTGAGCAGAATGGATGGATCCAACTGGACATGTCTAGTTCTAACACCTGTATTCTCAGTCAACCCCTAAGACTAAAAAGTAACATAGCTACCCTCCCACCTCTTTCGGTATCTTCTCGGCAAGTAAAACTATTTTGTATTCTGGGGCTTAACTCATCAGTAACTTTATGTCTCATCAATGAAACCTCCTAGGACCCTGACTGACTTCCAGGGTCCCACCTTCTTATCCTGGCCAAAAGTGTACATCTTGGAGTGTCAGGCTTATCAGCCTGAAGAGAAATCTAGCTCCCTCCTCCTAAGTGAAAATATGCATTATCCCAGGAGGAGGCCATCTCAGCAGCACCACACCACTCCCCTCTTTTGGTGGTCAACACTTGTTAAACATCCTTTATTCCCACCACAGTCTTACTACTAACTCGGCCCTCATGATATTCGTATCCACAAACAACTCAACTTCCTGGTCTAATACATGTGCGTGTCTTCTCTGGACAGTAAGTATCACTACAAATACCTGGGGTCAAAGCGGGGATTTAAACACTGTATAGCAAGCATCTCTAATAAAAGAGCCCAAACCCTGAGAGGCTCTGGTGCTCGAGTGTTCTGGATTTGGGGGTATTTCCCAATGCTTAGTCTGTCCAATGATGCACAACTGGGGACTAAGCAGTCTCTTTTCAGCGCAAAGCTCTAATTGAGTCTCAGTCAGTATTTTACCAGTGTCTGTATTTCTCCCTGTACCCGTCTTATACAGATAAAGGTCACCGAGTCCTCAATTTACAAGAGGCTGGCTTATATGGGGACTTCCATCGACTTACCTGGGTTAAGTGTGTCACCGTCCAACATCCCTCCTTCACAAAAACTCTCCAGCTCCTCAGGTTTGACTTTGTCCCATGGGACATAAGTGACACCCAGTTCAACATCCCAATACTGCTTATAATCTGCCTTTATTCCTTTGTTTAAGGCCCAGGCAATCTATAACCAGTGAAAATGCACCAAGAAAGGAAAAGACAAGTGGGTCATCAGTCTTGTGAGCTCACCACTCCCCACCACCCACTCATCAGGACAAGGCAGCCAGGGAGCAACCCTGTCCCTGGATACATTGCTCAAGACTTTCCTCGTCATGGGATTACTGGTTCTCTCGTCTTCCCACTTTGCCTTAGGACAGAGATCTTTGCAGACCCAGCACAGTCAGCATACAAGAGTAAGAACAAGCTCAGCAAGGAGAAGCCTTTTCAAAGTTTACAGATGCGGCAGCACCTTTTTACAGTGCATTATCAGGGGAGAACAAGGGGCTAACGCAGGGCAAACAATGAATTGGACTCCTCAGAGGATGGTTGTCTGTGTGCTTATTTTTCATCTCTGTTGATATTTTTAAGTTAATTCTAAGAGAGATGACAAAACTTAAGTTGTGGTATATCTACATTTTTGTAAGAAAATATTTTACTAGAAAACATCATCTTTAAAGCTCCAGTTAAAGCTAGATAGATGTGCTATTTATTGTATGCTGTAATGCCAGTACTTAGGAGGTAGATCAGGAGTTCAAGGCCAGCCTGGGTTATATTGAGACCTGTTTTTAAATAAGTAAATAAATAAGGTGGCTGGAGGCATAGCTAAGTGACTGAGTGCTTAGCTAGCCTACATTAAGACCCTGATTAAATTCCTAGAACTTTATTAAAAAAAAAAAATCTTATCAGGGTTGGAGAGATGGCTCAGAGGTTCAGAGCACTGGCTGCTGTTCCAGATGTCATGAGTTCAATTCCCAGCAACCACATGATGACTCACAACCATCTATAATGAGATCTGATGCCCTCTTCTGACTTGCAGGCATACATGCAGACAGAAATCTGTACATTATACATAAAATAAACCTTAAAAAAATATTTTGTTGGGCGTTGGTGGAGCATGCCTTTAATCTCCAGAGGCAGCGGCAGGCGGATCTCTGTGAGTTCGAGGCCAGCCTGGTCTCCAGAGCGAGTGCCAGGATAGGCTCCAAAGCTACACAGAGAAACCCTGTCTCGAAATACCCCCCCCCAAAAAAATCTTAAGAATTTTGTTAGCTTAGCAATAAAATGACTCCTAGTGACACTCTACTATATCCATAAATCAGTGCCTTGCTTAGCTACCACCAGAGAAGCTTCTTGCAATTGATGGGAGCTAACACAGAGACCCACAGTCCTAAATGGGAACCTTTATCACCACGCCCACCCCCCTCCACACACTCAGGGTTCAGGGAACTATGTAGAAGAGACGGTAGAAGAGTTTAAGAGCCAGGAGGATGGATAACCCCAAGGAAGCAAGTACTGATGCACATATAAAATCAGAGGCACAGTAGCATGCACAGGGCCTGCACTGGTTCCATCCAGGCAGAGAGGGTGCCAGCTGAGAGAGGGAAGCGGGCATGTGCTCCCACCTCTAACCAAGAAGTCACCTGCAATTAACATCTTACAAAGGGAAAATACCGTCCCAATGGAGTCTCCCCAGGGATAGTAACTTCAGGGTAGACCCAACGCCCAGCAGTGGATGGCCAACACTAAACAAACTGGGTTTGGGGGGTGGGGGGGGACAACACAGACTGTCTTTAGCTGCTTTGCTGGGGCATTTGTCTCCTTGCTCTTTTGCGTGTGTGTTTTGGTTTCTGCATTTGTGGAGTATGTGATGTTTCCCCTTTGGGGTGTTGCTTGTTTTTTAAAGACAGAGAGGGGTATGAAACTGGGGGTGGGGGTAGGATCTTGGAGGAGGAGAAAAGTTTGATCAGAATACACTGCATGAAAAAAAAGCCTTTCATAATCAAAAAGAAACTAAGGAAATTATCAGTAAAATTATATGTCAACAAATGTGCGACTGTTTTCCAGGAGGCTTTTATGCCTCATATCATTCCCAAGTAGCAAAATTATATTGAAAACTAAAACAAAAAAATCCTAGATAATTTTACATTAAACCCTTTTATAAATGATAAAAATGTACCTTTATGGATTTCTGGTTCACTTTATAGTTTCCCCGGCTCAGTTTCTGCAGGGCACGGTATGCATCTTGCCTATGAACCATAACGATATAGGCACATCCTCTGGGAGGAATCATCTGTTCAAAATATTTCAGTATTATAGAAGGCAATGACAAAAACAAAGAACACAATGATACAGATGTCAGCCTCCAGCCGTATCCCCTCTCATCAGTACTGTCTAGCCCAAGGCGAGCAGCTGAGCACTTGTAAGCATGTACAGAGCTGAGCCCCCCAGCACTACCAACAAAAAGACAGACCTGGAGGGTTAAACTCATTAAAGTTGGGCTTTGACTAAATTGCACAAATTTTGTGACAGACTTTTTAGAAAAATATTTTAACTTAAACATGACTGTCAAGAAACGTCAACTGTTGAGAATGTTAAGGTGATCAGGAACATCTCAGCCTACAACTGCCTTCCACAAACTGCCTTCCATAAACACTCAAGGCCTCAGTCTCAAAACATAGCTGAGCACATCTTGCTCAGCACCCTCAGGGAAGTAAGTACTCACATTAATTGATTCAATTGGACCAAACTCTTCTAAGAGACTGGCAACATCTTGTTGAGTAGTCCTTTTGTCCAGCTGTCCCACCCACAATGTGGTACTACAAACTGAAAATGAGTAGGTGATCAAAACACTCATTCCATCCCAAGCAGCACAACACACCATCACATGTCATTACTATGTGACATTACAATGCCAAAAACTCAAAGAGAGGAAATGCCAGTTATACATTATATAAATTTAAAGAGTCTAGAAAATTAGGTATTTAGAAATTAAACCAGTTTAAAAAAAAAAAACAAAAACGGAAAAACAATGGGTCTCTTTGTGACTAGACCTAAAATGCCCATGAAAACCCAGGCCCTGAGAGCAGTGACTTGCCTATCCCTGTCTGCTGCCAGCAAAGAAGAGAACAAGGACTTGAATCTAAGTCTCTATTCCTAAGCAACCAAGCCATTAACAAGTACAGTCGTCCACTTCTAACCTGAGTTTCTTTTTATGCTGTTTCCTATGTGTGGGCCTCATTTTAAATACGTACTGGTCACTATTATGAATTAAATTGAAATCTTTCTACTATACAAGTTCTAAAAATAATGAAAACCCAGAGGTAACACGAGCAAAGAAGGACGTACTTGTGCTGGTGGAAAGGCACCTTGTCGCATACAGACGCACTCACTGAGTGTGTGCAGTGTGCAGTATACAAGTAAGACAGAAGGAAATGCTATTCAGAAAACACTCACCACTCAGGGCTCTGCTAACAGTCATAAAATATCTTAAACCCACAACATGAAAAAATCCTAAGAAAGTATCAAGAAGATAGGTTCACTATTTACCACTTGCAGTTTCTGATTTGATCTGAGGGAGGCCTTTCTGTCGCCGTTCCCTCTCTTTTTCACGATCCCTTCTTTCTTGAGATCGAGACCGGGGTGAGTGCCGGCGCCTGTCCCGGGACCGAGATCGGGACCGTCGGTGGCGGGATCTCCGAGACCGAGAGCCGGATCTAGATCTTCTCCTTTTTGGTGACCTAATACATTTCATGAAGGAGATGGACAGCAAGAAGAAAAAGGGGAAAGATGCACATATTAAGTTGAAAAAATAAACAGAACCAGGTAAGTGAATGTTTGGATCTGTAAGTACAAAGAAACAGGGCACTCATGGATATAATTTATACAAAATAACTATGGCTGGGCCACTGGTGTAACTTCTCTAACACTACCCAAATTCCATCTTCAAGGTTAGGAAGCCGGTCCTCAAGGCGGTAAACACTGCTGCTACTATACCTTCTTCTTCTTCTAAGACGCCTTCTCTTCAGCAAAAACACACTTGAACTGTGACACAACCGTGACATTTCCACTTTTGTTGGCCAACACTGAACATACAACTCCTATAAACTAGACCCACAGGAACTAATTCAACTCAGATGACATGTAGGTAAAGTGACATTCCCACTTTTGTTGGCTAACACTGAACATTCAACTCCTATAAACCAGACTCATAGGAACTCAACCAACTCAGATGGCATGTAGGTAAAGTGTTTTGGATTTGAAAAATAACTTACTTTTTGGGGGTCTTTTTTAGACAGTGTCTCATGTATAACAAGCTGGCCCCCAACTTCTGATGCCCGAATGCTGGGATTAAAGGCAGTGCTAATGACTGAGTGCAGGACTTTAGGCACACTAGGTAAGTACTCTACCAACTAACTACAACTCTAGATGGAACTAAACAACAAAACAATAATAATAAAAAAACCCAGCCATTACTTTTGATACCTTTTCCTTATGTACCGAGTGTCACCGAGAAGGTGGGACAGGTGGATTGCTCTGAGTGCAAAGCCAGCCTGGTCTACACACTGAGTTCCATGCCAGTCAAGGCTACATGGTGAGATCCTGTCTCAACACAAAAGCGAAGAAAACAGTGTGACCGGCACCCCGGTCTCCTCAGACACAAACTGTGGCTCTCCTGTAAGTTACCTGGATGCTGACCTAGATCTTGACTTTCTGCTGTCAGGCACATGCCGCTTAGCCTCCGGGACACAAGGCTGGTCTACTTCCATTTCCTTAAAAATAAGTAAATAAATAAAAATTAAAAAGATCAGAAAATGAGACATCTGGAAATCATAGGGCAAGAGGCCAAAATCTTAGAAATACTAATTTTCTGAACTAAATAATGACTAGCCACCACTGAAAGAAAAACAAAACCTCTCATATGGTATGCAAACTAAGCCCGGGTGGGTGTTACTTCTGGAAGTTACTCTGCATAAATTACATTTTTACCAAACACCATAAAGCACAGTAAGTAAACTAGGCTCTGGCTGAACCCATCAACACTAGCTTCAATCCTCAGTTGATAGTATTGTTGGAGACAAGAGTGTCCAAAGATCAACATACTGAAAAACTAAAACAGCAACCAAATAAGGAGTGTGCATATAAATCAATCCAAGAAACTATTACCTGCTGATGTGGCTTTTGTGAAAGCGGCTCATTTTGTGGCTGAAAAGTAGGTTGGAAAGTTGGTTGTACTGGTGGAGTTGGAGGAATCCCAGACTGTGGCATCCCAGGCTGTGCCATGCCAGGCTGAGGCATCCCAGGCTGTGCCATGCCAGGCTGAGGCATCCCAGGCTGTGCCATGCCAGGCTGGGGCATCCCAGGCTGTGCCATGCCAGGCTGCGGCAACCCAGGCTGCGTCATTCCAGGCTGAGGCATCCCAGGCTGTGCCATGCCAGGCTGAGGCATCCCAGGCTGAGGCATCCCAGGCTGTGCCATGCCAGGCTGAGGCATCCCAGGCTGAGGCATCCCAGGCTGTGCCATGCCAGGCTGCGGCATAGGAGGAAATGGAGGTGCAGAGAGAAGCCCAAATCCTGGCATTTGTCCATTAGGAGGAAGTGGAACCTTTCATTTTAAAGAAGAGTTAAATCTATAAGTTTCAAAAGTTATTTTATATAAAACTTCAATAAATTTTATTTTAAAAAGCTATCTGAGTTCTGTATGCATAACTTTTCTGTAAATCACTCATTCAGAATTCTCAATGGTGATTCAAGATACAGCTTTATTTACCCAGGGTAGCAAGATGACAGGGTAGTCTTAGCCAAAGAGGTACTTGATTGCAAATCATCGTCCTTCAAATTTTTAACAGTAACTGTTTTTGTTTGTTTGTTTGCTTGCTTCTCTGTGTAGCCTTGGCTGTCCTGGAATGCACTCTGTAGACCAGGTTGACCACAAAAATCACAGAGCTCCGCCTGTTTCTGCCTCCCAGGTGCTGGGATTAAAGGTGTGCACCACCACTGTCCAGCCAAGCTTTTATAATAGAAGGAAAATGGCTGTAGTTTCTAGATTCCTGGGGGAAAAGTACTTTGTTTGCTAGACTTGATGGTGTACACCAGAGTTTGTTATAAGTCAAAGACCAGGCTGGCTTACAAACGCAATTCTAGGACAGACAGAACTACACAAAGCAACACCTTATCTCTGAAACAATCCCCAAAACAAACAAAAACTTAAAGTGGTCTTACAGTATAACCCAACTAGCCTGTCTTGCCCTTCAAATGCCAGGACTGTGTGTTAACACCACACCTAACTGTGTGTACATTTCTTTGTTAGACATACTTTTAAAATTTCAAATGAAAGTCACAATATATAACAAAGCACAGGAGGAGGGGTGGATGGAAAAGGGGATAGATGGGGGGGTGGACAAGAGGGAGGGGAAACTGTGGAATGTGAAAAAATGTTAATAAAAAATGGTAAAGCACAATCTGACATTTTACAAGCACTACCCAGCACCAATACTCATGTCCCAAAATCTCTTTCCATTAAGCATTCATAAATTGTCAGTGGAGTGGGGCCATGACAGTGCACACCTTTAATTCCAGTACTCGGGAGGCAGAGGCAGGCGAATCTCAGTGAGTTCGAGGCCAGCCTGGTCTACAGAATGAGTTCCAGGACAGCCAGGGATGTTACACAGAGAAACCCTGTCTTGAAAAACCAACCAACCAACCAACCAACCAACCAACCAAGTGAAATTGGTGGTAATTTGTCTAATAAATATCTGGCAGTATGTTCACATGTTTTCTTCATTGTTTAAACAGGCTTCCTCAGTAAGCCATTAAAATCACAGTACCAACTATATGTCATCAAATGCAAAGAATGACCCGGAAATCATACAGACAAGAAAATCCGTAGTGTTAACATCCTTATCGGGCACCCTTTCCACAGGCTATAAAGCCATGTTTCCCAAGGCTGGTTGTGCATGAAAATCACTGTAGCACAATACCACAGATTATATACAATGGCTACTGTGGAGGGGGGGTGGGGGTGCACAGGCTCTGTCTTTAAAGCCCAACCCTGTAAACCCAGAGTTTACAGTATTTAGCAAAATCAATCCAATGACCCAATCCCTAGTCTCTGTAACTCTCAGCTTGCTATATATGTTTTGTTGTATAATTCAAACTGTCTACACTACCAACACCAGGCCCCGAAAGCCCTCTACAGTAGCCAATCATCACAGCACACAGGAAAGACTTCCAGCAAAGGAAACAGCTGTGCGACTAAGGAATTTCTTTAAATACAACTGCAATGTCACTAAACTATTTTAACTAAAATATCTACCATTATTATTATTAGGTGAATATAGTATGTTTATAAACACGTTGTAATAAAGATAAATTCCACAGCTCTCTGGGAGGCTGCAGTTCTCCTTAGCAAATTACACAGCAACAACAGTACTCAGAGATACAAACAGGTCCCTGAGAGCAGATCTCAAGTACATAAAACTCAAGACAAGAAAAATGCCTGTACCTGATGGTGCACTGCATCCTGCTGTATCCCCATCATCCGAGGTGGAAACTGGTCCATATTTTGATGCTGTGTATAGGCTGGCTGCTGCATGCTGTCCCCAGGATAGCCACTAAAACAAGGGGAGCGCTTTCATTACTCATTCAAAACCACTCAAGACTTAGTCACATTTCCATTGCAGAATGCCACTCAGGAGTCACGGGTATTCAACAAATACTAGTCTAACATAAAAGCTACGTTTTAAAATTCTAATTCTGCAAAGGATACAAATTCTCTTATAATTTTACAAAATTCTCCACTGAAATTTGTTTTTAATCCTAACTGTTGCTTAGATTATGCTTTGTAACTGTTACCAATATCAAATGAAAAAGAAACTCACAATGGCACCTGTGGAGGAGGGGGTGAGGTGGCAGAGGGCACCGGCAGAGCAGGAGCAATGGCGGGTGTGGCCACGGAGGGAGCAGGAGGTGCAGCAGCAGCAGAAGGGGCTGCAACAGTGACAGCAGTGTCCTCTTTCTTCGTGTCTTCCATGGCTTCTGGCTCATCATCATAATCAAACCTATCAAGCAGCTTCTGCAATGTGTATGGCAATGTTCCACTTAACACACAGACTGAATCAGCACACCACAAACTTTACAGAACGACACGTTTCCATCAGTTACAACCCTACCATGCTATGTCTTTTTCTTCTGTATGTCCTGGGGAGCTTGGTCCAAAGACAGACAATACTGGCATAAATGCCACTTCAACAAAGATACAACTTTAAATTCGACATTCCTTCTCCAATAATACAAGTAGTGTTTTCTTTCTGAATATTATCTGCTTATTTCATAATAAAGTTAGCAGTATACTTAATCTAAAATATTCATTTGCCTAGACTGAAGCTTCTGGAGCTCTGCCTAACTCAAACAGGTGTGTGCTTTCAGGCAGCTGGAAATACATGTCCACAGGCTGCCCGGCCAAGAATACACTCACGTAACGAAAGAAAAAAATGTGGTGCAGGACAGGGATGGACAAAAGAAGTCTCTTCAGCTGTTTACTCAAGCAGTTTCCTTCTCAAAGCTTCATAGCTTACACCAATTACCAGAAACTTTCATTAAAAACAACAAACAAGCCCAAATAATCCAGAAGTTCACAAATCTAGAACAGTAGTTTTAAAATAAAAAGTAAATTTAAAAATTTTTTAAAAATAGAATTATAAGATAAAAAGTTAAACAGTAATTTTAAATTTAAAGTAAGTTTTAAAATAAAGCTTAAAGGGCCAGGGTGATGGTTGGGCAGGTAAACTCCTTGGAACCCTCCTCCAAACTGTCCTCGTACGTACATCAACAAGTATTCCATAGCACACACACGTCACTCCCACACACTGTATCATAAAACCTGTGATGCACTTCTATTTTTTGTATGCAGACAAGGAAACCAAGGTACAGGAGGTTAAGAACTATAAACAAATCTACAGTCGGTGAGTGCAGAGTCACGCTGGACACTTGTCTTTTACACTTCCAATGCCTGAGCTCCACTTACGGCTGTGCCTGCTGTGCTCACAGCTTCCACACCTCGGACTCCTAACCCGTGTCTTCCATGCTGTCCTGCCTAGAAACTCCGGTGTACTTCAGGAACAGATTGCTAAGTCATGCCACAGAACTGAACCAAGTGTGAAGAGGATCTGACATAGCGAACTTCTTTATAAAAGAACAGCTAGTGTTTTCTGAATATAAGTAATAGATACTTCAGGTACTTTGCAGTTTCACATACACTGACTTATTTTATAGTACCAAGATACATTATTTAAGTTATAATACTCATACATACTGATCTGGAAAAAGACTTGAATCAATTACAAAATCTCTAGTTTATAAAAAACAACAACAACAACAAATTTTCAACAGTTGAGAGGAAATGGAAGACGTAAGAAGATCTAAATAAAAGCACTCCCAGCTGAAAACAGATTTTAGTCAAAAGAAAGAGCACAGACACAGACACCACACCCCAAACAATATCACACATACGAACACACACACGCACACATGCACACACGCACACCACCACCACCTCTCCACTCCCCAGCAGATCATTCTTTTCTGCAAATGTGATGGAACTAGTAACTATTCAGGTGAACCAGCAAGATAGGATTCCCACCGCCATGGTCTTTACTCAGGTGTTAGAAGAAAAGCAACAGGAGCAGACACTTAAGACTGGCAAGTCCAGCACCACCTAGAAATGCCAAGGGAACACCTAGCAAACTAGGCACTCGATAACACCAGCCTTTTCTCTGTGGCATTATTAACCAAATTAAGTGCTAAGAAACATTAAAAAAGACTAAGAATAAGATTAAAAAGTCCAAGGATCAGTGAAACAAAAAAAAAATTATGTAAGGCCTTTATAAAGAAGACCATAAAAACATTTAGTTTACTATGGAGGTTCTATAGCAGTACGTCCCAAAGCTACCCAACAAGCATGTTTTGACAGGTAATGTATGTTACCTTGGATATCTAATATAGGGACCGACCAGCTGTAAGGTCCAATGTAATTTGTGTGTTACTGTGAAGGGAAAATGTTTTAGATCACATTATCAGTTAATCAACAGACCCAGAGTATAGCAGGTTACCCTCCTTAGGGAACATACTCTTCAACAAGAACCAGGGTGTCCCGAGGAAGCATCCTGAGGGCCACAGCACGGAAACTCCACCTTCATTTGTAGTCCGCTGCTCCTGCCATGCTCTCAAGGCAGAGCTACACTGTTAAATTTTACATGAATTTACAGCCTGCTCATCTGCCTGAAAAAACTTCAAATCTGTTGACTTTCTACAGCACACAAACTAACTCCTAAACCCCCCCCCCCCCAAAAAAAACCAAAAGTCCTCACACAGCTGCTCTTCCAGAGGACCCGGATTAGCTCCCAGCACCCACACGGTGGCTCACAGCCTTCTGTAGTTCTGGTTCCAGGGGAACTGATGCCTTCTCTGACTTCACATCACTGGCATGCACACGGTGCACATATATACATTCAGGCCAAACATTTATACAGACAACATAAAATAAAGCTAAGAAAAACCTTTCCATCCTATCATCATAAACACCACTTATGGTTTACCTGAAAAATCTATACATAAGACCACAACTAGCCCAAGTAAGTCTGAAAAACGATTAAGCAGAGGGACACTTGGAGTGAAGGATGTGTATGTGTGCTGGGTGGTTATTAAAAGTTGCAGAAATAAACACTGGTGTGACAAGGCAGTGTAAAAAAAAAAAATCAAACCACCAAAACAACAAAAACAGACATAAAAACAAGACTTTATAGTAAAAAAACAAAAACAAACAAAAAAGCCAGTAAGTTAGCTACTTCAAAAACATAAGTACTTAACAAAATCTTGAATGATAAACAGACCACACTCCAGGAGGAGGAGAGAGACGAACTCAGGAAACAGAAGTGGAGAACTAGTAGAAGGATACAGAGCTTTTTTTTTTTTTTTTTTTTTTGGGGGGGGGGGTGAATAATGGAGAAGACTTATGTTCACTTGTACATGGAAACAGACCTGCAAGCACACAAACACATCTTTTCAAAGGAAGAGTGGAATAGCTTTTTTTCTTTTCTTTTTTGTTGCTTTATTAAGTCTGTATTCTGTTTCCCTTACAAATACAGAATATTCCTTTCACGTGTACGTGTGTGCATGTCTGTGCGTGCATGCGTGTGTGAGCATGCAGCCTGTGGCCCTCACGCTCGCACAGCCAGTACTTTACTGACGACATCACCTCTCTGCCCATGTCTACTCCTTGTTCACTAAAAATTTAACCCACTATTTCTTAAAGTCAGCAGTCACTTATTAATCACCCAGGTAAAACAATGAAAACTGGCATTTACCTACCACACTGATTATTAATTACTGGCGATAAATTTTTTTATAACTTATTTTAGAAAGAATCATAAATCTTAGAGATCATGCAATCAAACATTAAACAATGCTACAATTTTCAAACTCTTTTTTTTTAAACTGTGAAACTGGACAAAGAAAATTTAAATAATCATTACCCTAACAAAAACACAAAAGACAAAAGTAGAGCTGTCTGGGTTGAACCCACAGCACACCCACACCCTTGGTGGCAGTATCTGAAACATGCCCGTTAAATTTCAATCTGAGACAATCCCCATGGGCTAAAGTTCACTTGGTCCCCAGTTGGTTGTCTTTTTAGGAGATGGTGAGTAGTTAAAAGGCCACCAAGGGCACGCTTCTGATAGTTTCACTTGGTCCAGAGTCCTTTTCCCCTCTCCTTGCTTCCTGTCCACTTTAAACTAAAGAGGCTCATCTGCCACATGGTCCTGCTGAAAACCATGGATTCAACTCTCTGATGCCAGGAACCAAAATCAATCTCCCCTCTTTCAATTTGTTCTCGTGGGTGTTTGTCACAGCCACACAGAAAAAGAGCTCCTAAGGATGGCAAGGCCCAGTGAGTCAGTCGGTCACCCCAGGGCTCATGTCACAGACATGGCAACTACAGTGATCACAGCAACAGCAAATGTCTATCAGTAGCCAAACAGATAACCTCTGAGGTCTCCATCTACTGGAACCTTAATAACTATCCACGCTGAATGTACACAGACCTAACAATACAGATCAGAACAAAAGCATAGGCCTATAGTGTATTGCTTCTGGAAAAACATACAACAGAACCCAACAGCATCGTTGCTAGGTACAAGTGGGACTAGTGAAGAATTGCCTTCTGTTCACTTTTCTTTATTCTGTAAACTTGTTTACAGCGAGCCTGCACGACATGTATAACCAGGAAAAACCATTTTGATATTGAGGAGGAAAACTCAAACCACAGACAAAACGAACAATCCAGAGAAGCTGCAGAAGAGAGCCTACAATGAACATGGGTAAGACAGACAGTGGGGTGATGTGAGAGAAGCGTACCTTGTCAAATGCAGTTTTTTGTTCAGGTGGGGGGAAAGCGGCTTTTTGTTCAGGTGGTTGTGTAGGAGCTGTCTTTAACTGAGCTGTGATAGCCTGAACCTGGGCCATCACAGCATTGTCAAGGGCGGGAGACTGTGGTTTTGGAGGCTGCTGAAAAGTCTGAAGGATCTGCTGAAGCTTAAAGAACGGGAAAACTGATAAACCACACAACAAAGCATCATCATCAAAGTTAACTTACTAAAAAGAAAAGAATGTCAGAGTGGCTGAAAATAGCATAGCAGTACGTAAACTGGGCAAAGGATCCACCATTCACTAATGGCTAAATTTGTGAATGAACATATTACAGTGTATTGCTTATGGTTAAAAATGTATGCTGACAATCCCAAAGATACAAACAAGGCTCAAAGAAAAGAGAAAACACATGGAATTGTAACAGCAAGTTTTCTAGAAATACAGAAAATTTCACTCCATATAATCTTGAGTCAATCAGAAATACTAGAATTGTGAGCAACAACGCCTGCCACCTCAACAGCTCTCAAGTTCTTTCAAGGAGGTATTACCATTTCCTGACTTTCACACTCACATTTCCCTGATTAGCTCCCTAGTGAAGGCTACTCTGGCTGAAGACATTTCTCCCACCATGGAACATAGGAGGAGGAACGGGAAGCAACCCAGTGCACACCATTAGAGCATGAGCAGCTTACCTGCTGGCCTTGAGTGGTCTGAAACAGTTGAGCCACAGCAGCAAATGCATCAGAGCTGGGCAACTGTGCTACAGGAGGCATGGAGTTTGTGGGCACTTGTGCAAGTTCAGAAGAGGCTTTTACTGGGGGTGGAGGTGAGCCTAAAAAGCAAAGGGCACCAGGCCTCAAAAAAAGTCAACACATACACCCTCTTCATCCCTGTTTAAAGCCCCTTTCAAGTTCTGCTGCTAAAACAAAATTCTGTCTCGTTTAACTTGTGGTTAGTAAGGTGACAAAGGACACATTACCATTTGAAGTAAGAATTATACGAAGAGTAACTGTGCCTTCCAAATGCAAACTCAAGTTTCCTTCCTATGGGAAAAGTTCTACCAACTCAGAAACGAAACCTTTCATGTAGAGAAACTCAATTCTTTTTAAATTTCTTTTTCAAACAGTATAGTCTGATTATGGTTTTCCTCCCAACTCCTCCGAGATCCTCTTCACCACCCCCTCCAAATCAACACCGATTCTGTTTCTCATTAGAAAACAAATAGGCATATGATAAAATAAAAACAAGCCAACCAGAATGGAACAAAACAAATAAACAGAAGAAAACGAACTAGAGATGCAAGTGTGCTTCCAGGACCTTCTTTTACAATCAGACTCGACACTGTACCTTCATTGTTGGTGACATTGTCTGCTACTGGAACAGCATTACTAGTTCCTGCTGCCATGTCCAAAAGAGGCTGAATAATTTCAATTTTGAATACTCCATTTTTTTGCCAAAGATTTAGCACACGAACTATTTTACTCTGTTATGTGCAAGAAAATGAACATACAATAAATATTTACAGAAACTGCTTATCATATCTGATTTTAAAGAAAAACCAATACTGTTTCACTGGGGGGAAAAATTCTTCACAATCATTACCTAGTTAAGCAACTCAAATTAACCTTTCCTCAGTGGTCTAACCTAATGAAAAGGAACACAGTCAGACTAGATCCCTAGCAATTAAATATTTGCTCTTTACTAAGAGTTACAAAGAAAAACCCTGACAAAACTCAGTTATCTCAGAAAAAGTCATCAGGTGAAGCATTTCTTCAGGATGACCGAGGCATTGATTATGTCAGAGACTGTGCACACATGGTCAGCGGTACATGCTTGTGATGCCAGCTCTCAAAAAGGGAAGACTGCAAATTTGAGGCCCAATACCCTAGCACAAACACAAATGAAAACAAACAAACCAGTTTTTAAGAAATTGGCTAACAGGAAAAAGATGTTTTGTGGCCAAGTAAGTATGAAGAAGAGAGATTCAGACGACATTTTGTTGTTCCTGAGTACAAGTTTTAACTTCTATTCAAGGGATCTTTTTATAAAATTATGCTTCAAGGGCCTAAGAATGGGAGTCGGGCGTTGGTGGCACACGCCTTTAATCCCAGCACTCGGGAGGCAGGCGGATCTCTGTGAGTTCGAGACCAGCATGGTCTACAAGAGCTAGTTCCAGGACAGCCTCCAAAGCCACAGAGAAACCCTGTCTTTCACCCATCTCCCTGCAAAAAAAGAGTCTAAGAATGTACAGACACTGAAAATACACAGTGTTCCTCTTAATGTAAATGTCTCCATTCTCATTACTGAGTACGGCATCCGTGATTCCACACTGAGAGAATGGGTCACAGTTATGGCAGACAGAGAAGCCATCTATATTGTAAAGGGGGCAACTTAACCCTTCACACCTCGGGAAAGGGCTGATTAATTGTTTCACAGCTAAGCCTACATACCTGCTGGCCTTTACCCTAGGGTTTTCTCTGAATCTCAAGTCTAACACAGGAACGTGACAGACAAAATAAGCATCCTTTCTGGTTTGGTCAAACTGCAAATAAATCCAAGTTTCTTTCTGTGTCATAATTTCTTTAGCTGCTTATGAGTATTCAATAATAGTGCTGTGTAACTCTTCCCACCTATTTACAGAGCACATATGTGTGACTGTCATATTCCTTCTTTCTACAGCACACTGTAAAACATGAATGCATGCCTGTTGCAGTCTTATTGAAGATGAATACCACTCACATGTCTGCATGTTGGGAAGAACAATTCTGGGCCTTCTAGAATAAGCAACAAACTGGAACCGGTATTTTCTCTACTACAGAGCTGTTCATCATCAAGGACATCTTTGTAGCTCAGGGTTGCTGTTACCAGCAATCTACCCGTTAAGCACTGAGATCAAAGGGATGTACCACCATGCCCAGCTACTAATTTTTCTTTAAAGATAATGCTTCCTGTACAAATCTTTTTGGCTTCTTTGAACTGGGGTAAGAACATTTAACACAAACCATACTTTCTCTAGAAATCTCTAGTGTACAACACAGAGCTGTTCGTTTTAAGGACCATGTTTGGCAGATCTCGGAACTTTACCTTACCCAACCGAAACTTCAGACCCACTACTAAGCAACTCTTCACACCCCACTCCCCAGTAATCATGCTCTGCTCAGATTGGTTCCTTCTGTAATTCAACATTACAAAAGTTCTTGTGCAGAGAGGCCATGTGAATTTAACATTTCACAAGGAAACCGGACTACGAAATGACCACTGCAAAGAAACTGAACTTCAGACTCACGAGTTTACTACATGAAGATATTATCCAATAACACAGCAGGCTTTAAATAACATGAATCCAAACACTTAAAAATAAACCCAACAAGAATGCAAATTTTAGAAGTTATTAACTATACCTTATCTTCAGATGGACAAAGATATAAATATTGGAATGTAGCAGTTATATTTTTAGAGAATCTTGGCCCAAAAACATCTTTATCAGTGCCAAACTGATGACGAGACTGTCTCACAATGGAATCAATGACATATAATCCTGGAACTTTATATTCTGGTTTACACTGCAAGGGTAAAGATACAAAGTTAATATAAGAACAGTAAAACCAGTGAGTATGGTAGCATGTACCTTTAATCCCAGCATCCCAGAGGCAAAGACAAGTGGGACCCCTGTGAGACCCAGTCTGCTCTACTTAGTGAGTTTCAGGCCATGCAGGGTTACACAGTAAACCCTGTGCCCTGTGCCTCCCCCCCCCACCAAAAACCCGGAAATCCAAAGGAAATCTGACATCCGGTGTCTCCCGAGCATGCAGCTCTACACATCCATCGTCCACAGTATAGGAACTACTTAAGTATTCCAGCACCTAGCTGCCTTTAAGTCTGTGGACAGTGACATTCTCTGATATCTCAGACTCCAAGGACTTTCCCCCAGATCCTCCATTTCCTCTCCAAAACTTCCCAGAGGGCATTTCCAACCCATTTTCCAACAAATTCAGTTATTATGAGTCTGAGTCAATAATTTCCATGTTTTAAAATTACTAAAACATACTTTTAAACATGCTGGTTTTACCAGAGAAATAAAAAGTAAAAGGAAAGGTCATTTGGGTCTATAAGCCTGACAAAGGCAAAACACAACACTCAGAGACACGGGGCATTCCTGTATGAAAAGGTGTAACGCTGCATGGAAGACAATTCAGCAACAAAAATAAACCCTTCTTGACCTTACGAATTTACGCTAAGGAAAAAAAAACGTGTGTACGTTTTTCCTTCAAGGCTAGCTGCTGAGGCATTTTCAATGAGAAATAACTATACTGGCTAAGTAAATAATAGTAACAATCACACAAAGGGTCACTTTGTAGATGTGTATAATAGGAAAAGCAAGTCAATAACCACACTGTGTCCATTTTCCTTACAAATGTACACACACAGAGATTCAGATGTACACACTAATAACTGGGGGCAGAAGCACAAATGCAATCCAATGTTCTCCCCATCTACATCTTAGAAGCTTCTAACTCACATAAACACCTACTGTGTACTTCATGGCCCAAGGTGGATCAATGGGTTAAGATGGTTAAGACCGTTCTCAGTTCTCTATTCAGAAGGATATGCTAATCACACACACTTTAAAACAACATACAACCACACCACTAAAAAACAGTTTAGCTGTGATGGCAACAGGGAAGTCAGGAAAATTAAAAAGTAACTTCATCTGAAGAACTCACAGGAAAATTAAATGCCAACAGAGTGGATGGGGCAAAGGGTCTAGAACAGGCAGGCAGGCTCTTAAGCTTGGGGAGAGGTCCCAACACAAAGACAACGAATTATGTTGTCAGGTATGACAGAAGCTGAGCACCAAGCTTTTCGCCAACATTCAGTGATAGCAGTAATATGAAAAAAATACCTTGTTTTTTTTTTTTAATATTTATTTTGTGTGTATGGGTGTTTAGTCTGTCTATCTGTATGTGTACTATGTGCATGTCTGGTGCCCAAAGAGGCCAAAAGAATGCATAGGATCCACTGACACTGGTATAAAAAGAGTGTGAGCACCCCCGTGGACACTAGGGAGCAAACCCAGGTCTTCTGAAAGTGCTTTCAGTACTCTTACCTTGTTGAGCCATGGCTCCAACCCCAGTAGCTACTTTTTTTTTTTTTTTTACAGTGTTTTTAGAAGCACACATCCAAATTTCAGTTCACATATGTAATACATATCGTAAATAAACATAGTAATAATGAAACAGTTACCTTTTTGATGAACTTTTCTACTATCTGAACAACATGCTTATAAAGCTGAAAGACAGAAAATTATAGCCAGTTTATACATTCCTACATTTCCTACAATTAGTGAACCCTCAAAACCTTGAAATTTTTATTTTTAATTAAAAATTTAACAATTAAATCAAAGAGTCTTTACAAATTCAACAATTTTTGTTGTCAAACTCAACAACAAAGAATCTTGGGAAAGGAATTAATCAAAACAAAAACTACAGACTCCTTTCCAAGGAGAATGTGCTTTCTTAGTCAACGGACCTCCAAGGAGCAAGGGTCAGGCTAGCTCAACATGGCAAAGAACAGAACCAAAAGTTAATAACATTTCTAAATTGTGCCATTTACTAAAATGGGATCTTGTGTAACAAGCCCAAGTTCTGACTTTTTTTTTTACATAAGAAGACAATATCTCACAGCTGGTTTATAAGGACTGAAACAGTATTGTCACAAACTTTTAGCAAAACTTAATTCACAAGATAAATTCTGATGTTAACAATATTTCAAATAATGAAAAGCAGAGCTGGCCAGACAGCTGAGTCGGTTAGGGTGTTTGTTTCAGAAGCCTGGCAAACTGAGCTGGATCCCTGGAAGCTACACCAAAGTGGAAGAGGAGTGACTTCATAAAGCAGCCTTCCACCCTTCACACGGCATACCCTTATCCCACCAGTAATAATTAATTAGAAAGCATTTCTAAGTTAAACATTTTATCCTTACCTTAATAGCTTTAATAGCAGCTTTAGTAATCAGAATCATCTTGGCTCTAGAGATGGGAGGTTTCATATCCATAAGTGAAAAAAGCTTGAAAAATAAAAGAGATAAAGGTAAATTCAGGTCAATTCCCCTTATTTACTCCCACTGGCCAAGGGAACAATAAACCTTTCTAACTAAAAATTGGTCAATTTGGCTACTTATCCAACATCAGCAACTTTTCTATATACCTGCATCATCACTTAGAAAAAACAATGGAGGGGACCACGTGAAAAAGAAGACAAGTATGAATACAGAGGCAAAAACATTTAAAAAGCTGCAAAACCAACAAAATCAGTCTTTCAAAAAAACTAAAAACTGTGAAGGGAACAACACACCTCCTCCTGGACTTAGTGTGGTGATGGTGTGACTTTATCAATGTTTGGTGTAATTTCAGTTCCAAATCTTACTCAGACCTTGAACGACTTCCAATAACCTTAAAGTCACTTAGATAAACATGTAAAAAGTCAAGCAATAGATTTAAAATGCCATTACAAAGATACAAATTATCTATGATGCTAGTGTGAGAATTCAAATTTTCTTCATTTAAAACCCACCCACCACTCACAGTCAAGCAATCAGGTTATCTCTTGATGGCAAAACACACAAAATCTTCCTCCCAAAATTATATCCAACTGAGATATTAATAACCAACCTCCCATGAGCCATCTCCATTTCCTTCCAGCTAACACTAATGTTTCAAGTGTATATGTGCTGCTCATACCACACTGACTAGACAATACCTCACCAGTCTGAAAAACAAGTCTCTTCCTAGGGTCGGCATGTCCTAAAAACTCACAATTTCTTAGCTATTTACAGCTAGGGACAGGGTGCGCCTACACATAGAAAAGGCATAGGATGCTGGATGCAACCGATTCAGGAGCCACATACGCTACCAAAAAAAAAAAAAAAAAAAAAAAGCTGGAACATTTCTATAAAATGTTAAGAAAATGCGAGAAACAACTTAAGGTATCACATACAAATTCATTTTCGAAGAGATTCTTAAAAAATAAAAAAAGGACATCAATTCTTTATTATTTCCTAATATACAAAGTTCCTGATCAGTAAGAGGCACACTATTCTTTGAGGGGATCTGAGTTTGGTTCCCAGCACCCAGGGTGGGTTGCTTGCCTGTTGAGGACTCTAACCCCAGGGGATCCAATCCCCTCTTCTGGCCTCTATGGGAACCTTTCCCTCTCTCAAAAAGGTTCTCCTCGAGAATAACACTAAATGGAAAAGTAGAAAGAACACAGTAATGGATGAAGCTATGCAAATCAGTGAACTAGATAAATTTAATCATTTCAACTTAAAAACTCTAAAATGGATTCATAAATATACAGTACACATTTACTATTTTTTCCATCTCTGTACCTGAAAACATAGCATGGGGCTGCAGAAAAGTTCTCAAGGATCAAGAGTAGACTGCCTCAGACTATACATGTTAGGTCATGGCAACAGTAAGCAAGTCACTGCTTTTTTTCTTTTTTTAATAAAGTCCAGGGGACTGGAGAGGTGGCTCAGTTGTTAAGAGCAAACATTGGCTGTCCTTCCAGAGGTGCTGAGTTCAATTCCCAACAACCACATAGTGGCTCACAAGGATCTATAATGGGATCTGATGCCCCCTTCTGGTATAAAGGCATATGTGCAGACAAAGCACTTGTACATAAAAATGAACATACAATACTGTTACTGCTTCCAAGAAAAGCAAACCGTCAGTCATTTTAAAAATCCAAGCCCAGACTATCACACTGCCATAGTCGAGAGTGGAGCAAAGAGTAACAAGAGGAGCAGTTACTCCCACGTCCAGCGCTGGCCTCACTGCCTCTGAGATCTGTTTCCACAAAACTCTTGGAAAGGCTCCACACTTCACAAGATGCCCAAGAAACTCTCAACTAGAAACTGTCGCATCTCATCTATCCTAAAGCTGACACTTCCTAATAGTGTATCCAATGCTGGTTACCAACTACATTTATTGGGGCGCACTGACCATGACAAGGAAGTGAAGAAACCAAGGATGGCAGGCAAGCATAGTCTCCTCCCTGAACGTTACGGAGAAACAGAGAAAGAGAATGGAGAAAGAGAATGTGGGCTGTGCACTTAACAGCCAGCAGACATGCAAATGGACCTTTAACACACAAACAGGTCTGTGTTTGAAACAGAAATACCTCCCATGAAGAAAGCTGAGGAATTTGTACTAAAAAGAAGCCTAGAGTGTACTAGAAGTTAGGGATACAAAAAAGTACAACAGAGCATAGCAAAGAGCATCAGAGCAAAGTAAAATCAATCCTAAAACTCAAAAAGGCACCTGGCACTTTGAAACACTTTCATCTAGGAAATTATGAGGTTATAAGACATGAGGGTTTATTAGTGTGTATTTGTGTGTGGCATGAATACAGGTATGAGCATGTCAGAGTACACGTGGAAGGGCGTAGAGGGCAACTTTAGGTAGTCAATGTTCTCTTTCCACTGTGGACAGACTCGGGCTCTCCAACTGCCTATCAACAGTGCTGGCCCACTGAGCCCCTTTGCAGACCCCAGACATGAGTTTTTCACAGTGGTTAGGACTGCATGCAAGCAGAAATGTATTAGTGAACTATTTTTCTGCTCAAAAGCTCCACAAACATAATCGGCATCGAGAGGCAACAGGACCATTTTCAAAACTATTTAGACACAGGGCATCACTATGTATCCCTGGCTGACCTGGATTCAATGAGTAGACCAGGCTAGCCTGCCTCTGCCTCTCAGTGCTGACGTTAAAGTGTGTACACTTTGGCTAGCTTATGCTTCAGAACTCTACAGATGGCCTTACCTGTTTAGTATCATAAGGGTCCCAGGGCATCTGAGTTTCTTTTTAGACAACCATGACTCTCCCTTACCCAAAGAGTAAGAGTTGTGAATTTGTATTTGATGGAATTGGAAGAAAAAACACTCTAGGAAAGTTTCAAAACTGGATGGATATATAAAATGTATTTTCTAAAGCTGATACCAGTATCTTACTGACCTCAAAGCACAAACTCAGAACATCTGTTTACAAGTCAAAGTAGTCCCTTACTGTCTAAATAGACCACTAGCTTCATTAAAGTGAAGCCACTTCCATGGACATCCTCTCCTGGTAACCAACTGCTCCAACTCCCATCACATGGACATAAATACTAAGAGGATGCTGGGAGACATGGTTCCTTACCCACAGTTGAGCATGCTAAGGTTCAAGAATTGGTCCCAGCTGCTACAGTAGCATCCCAGCCCTAAATTACTAAAATACAAATTTGTGGGTAAGTGCACTGGAGCACCTGGAAGACAAAGGTCAACTTGAGCTGCCTTGCCCTTAATGCCCCCCCCCCCCGGCAAAAAAAATCACCAAAACATCAACAACAACAACAAAACAAAACCCAAAACACCCCAGGGTCTCTCATTGGCTTGGAGTTCACTAATTAAGCTCGACTGGCCGGAGCACAAACCCCAGGGGTCTACTTCCTCAGTCCTGGGATTACAATCACATGCCAATAGGACATAGGCAGGGCCTGTCTGAAGGAAGACCGCTGGGTATCCTTTGGAGGCTGTACCTGACGTTACCCCTTGCTCCACTGTGATGTAACATGTCTGAGCTGAGCTATGAATGGCTACATGCCTTTGCTGCCACCACGGACTAAAACCCTCTAAAATCTGAGCCCAGACAAGTTCTTTCTTCCTTTCAACTGTTAGTACTCTGTCACGGTGAAAAGGAAAACACACCATTCTAGCGGGGCTGGTAACATTGCTCAGTAGTAGGGCACTTACTTCACATGTACAAGGCCCTATGTTACATTCCTATACCAAAAAGAAACACAAAACCCAGAACCCTGCCCAGGTCACTGAGATGATCACAATGGAAGGGCACTCACTAGAAGTGCTCAATGTCACAAGACGGGTGACTAGAAAACTGGTTTTGAGATCTCAAGTTTGTCTTTTTGGGGAGGAGCTTTCAGTAGCCAGGCTTCTTTCTGTTCTGTGCAGCAGAGTCTATTTTCCAAACACTGACCCATGCAAGCATGCCTAAGCAGGCCAGGCCCCCACTGCAACTGATTCTGAATTTGATCCCATGTCTTAAAAAAAAATACCGTATTACTGTCTTATGAATTATTAATTCAGATCCCAAATGGAATTATCTAAAATAGTTCCTAATAGTTGTCTTTTTTCTTTCCTTAGTATCTATGCTCACCCTCCCTCATATGTACCAATCCAAATTTTGGTTTCTTTAATTAAAATCAATTATGCTAAGCCCAACACAAAGGTCTGTGACACCTGTTACTTGAGAAGCTAAGGTAGAGGTTACAAGTTCAAGGCTAGCCTAGGCAACTTAGTGGGATCTTGTCTCAAAATAGTAAAAAAAATAAGCAACACATACACTGTTAATTTGTTTTCTATTTACAAGCAGTTTCTCTCATCTAAAGTAAGTGACTTATTTAGTCCTTCCTTTCTTCATCTAGAGCCAAACTGCAATTTAGTAATCTTAAACAAAAATTTTGTCAAGGTCACCAGTACTGCCTGAGGAACCTCTCAGATTTATATAAAGGCTGGCCTTGTGACAATCTACAACTTTGATTACAGCTATTGACTTTTCATAATTTGTTATTGTCGATCAGAACACAGACCCAATAATCAACTAATTGCCCACAAAGTTTGGCTCAGCCACTGGCTAATGCTGAGAATGCGAATCCTGCCAGATCCTGCTGACATTAATGTAGCATCTAGCAGGGAAATAAGTACTACCAGGGCACCGTGGAAACAGTTCCGAACAGTGCTTTCCAAGCTACAGGCTCAAGTCACAACTAAGAGGCCGGTAACGCACTTGCCCAGTGGCACTGGCTCCCCACTAGCATCCCTTATAGAAAAGGGCACAGAATCTGCACATTCTCTGGTATACTTTCAGTCATCTCTAGACCACTTGTGATATCTAATACATAGCAAGTACTATTTAAAAATAAGTGTTACGATGTACCATGTAGGGATAATGACAAGAAAGAAAGAATTCTATCACAAATGAGGTATGAGATTAGCAGTTTTGAAGCATG